TGTGCGTGTGTGAGTGTGTGTGTGTGTGTGTATGTGTGTATGTGTGCACGTGTGTCTCTTTTGCTGTGTGTGTGTGTGTGTGTGTGTGTGTGTGTTTGTGTGTGTGCGCGCGCGCGTGTGTGTGTGTGTGTGAGTATGTGTGTGTGTTTGTGTGTGTATGTGTGGTTTTCAATGACCAGAGTACACCTTGCATTTAATTAATTCATACTTGATAATATAAGTACAATGCCCAAGCTAAGATTCCGTTTTACGTCAATACAAAATAGACCATACATTATGAGTGGGCTGTTAGTAGGTGCTCTGGTGTGGTTTGCTTCTTCTTTTCTATCAAACGTCTATCGCCCATACCTCCCCTCTATCTTTGTTATGTTTGTTACTCTAATCCTCTAATCTTCTGGTGCTCTTATGACCTTATGCAGTTGCGAGCGCCGTAAAACCTCTACTAAAACTAAAAACATACATTATGAGATTTACAGAAATGCAATATTTGTTCAAAGATATGAAACAGGCTAATAATAGACGTTTCTGTTGCTTTTGGTAAACAGACTGTTATCGGCAAGCAGGCGATGAGTAAAAACAAAACCCAAACAGTCTACCAGATTGAAGAAACAACGGAAACGTCATCACTAAAGATTTGAAAAATGCATGTCGTAAAGAAAGAGGAATCCAAGGGAAGGAAGTGGGTGGTTGGCAGGTGCTCTGGTGTGGTTTGCTTTTTCTTTCCTATCAATCTTCTATCGTCTTTATCTCCCGTCCTTCTTTTTTGTGTTTGTTACTCTCTAGTAACACCTCTAATCTTCGGCACTTATATGACCTTTGTGTGTTGCAAGTGCTGTAAAATCTTACTAAAACTAAACTGAAGGGAAGGAAACGAAAATACAATTGTTTTTCCATGTCAATGTTTTGTGGCGCGTGCAACTGCATTATAAGGTCTTATGAGTTCACGGAACACAATAAACCTTTTCAGTTCGTAAGAAATTTTGAATTTTGCCCGGGTTGTGGTTAAAGCCTACTCTTATCGATTTATAGACAACCCAAAAATCTTTAATGTGCGCAACTTGCACACAGGAGCTCCGAGAATTTTCGCCTTTGTCCGAGAAGGCTAGGTGTAGATCTTTCCTATTACAAGATCGGGTGTGGCTGAAAGACAGCAGTAAGAAAGAGCCAAGGAGTAGCAGTAGAAAGGCTGGAGAAAGAGTCAGGGGCCCAGAGGAGGGGGCAAAGGACGTGAGGGGGTGGGGGCAGGAAGAGGAGGCGACAGCAGACGACATTGTCCACAAGTAGGAACGGATGTGAAAGTAGAACATTTTACAGAAGGAAATGTTCGCCGCTATCCGGATGCGAACAAACGACCTATTGAATGAGAGGCGAACACCTTAACCTCTTGGCCAGGAGAGCCCCAAGTCATCTTTGAAAGCAACGAAACCAAACTTCTCCTATACGCGTGGCAAAGCCAACTTTTGGTTAAGGTCAAGATTTCTGGAAACCCCCGAAATCTGGGTTAGCCCGCTTGTCCTTAAAAGCGACCAATTAGGAGACGCCAAAATGGCAAATGCTTGTCCCAATCGCTGCGTTCAATACACGTCAAAATTATCGTTTATTCTCTCTCTCTCTCTCTCTCTCTCTCTCTCTCTCTCTCTCTCTCTCTCTCTCTCTCTCTCTCTCTCTCCCCCAACCTGTCTCCTTATAAAAATGCATAGTCATTTCTTCTAATTTTTTGGTTTTTTTGTTACAGTTTGCATAGAATCTCTCCTCCCTATTCTGTCCGTCCTCGGTCTCTCACGCAGTACATGTTTGTGCGTTTGTTTATGCATGTGTGTGAGTGTGTGTGTGAGTGAGTGTATGTGCTTGTGTGTGTGTGTGTGTGTGTGTGTGGGGTGGGTGTATGTATACATGTGTGTGTGTGTGTGTGTGTGTGTGTGTGTGTGTATGAATGCATGTGTGACTGTG